GTAGGCATCCCACGGAGGTTTCCAGAGGGGGTTCGAGGACTTTCAAGGGGCCGGGAAGGGCCACATTCGCACACAAGTGCTTCGACAAACCTTGTTTTCAGATGGTCAAAACAGATATATGTAAATATAATACACCTACTGTCCCCTATGGCGGTGTGTTCACGCATAGGGTGAGTGGCACTGATCACTACTGTCCCTATGGCTGTGTGCTCACTCATAGGGTGAGTGGCACTGGTCACTACTGTCCCCTATAGCGGTGTGCTCACTCATAGGGTGAGTGGCACTGGTCACTATTGTCCCTATGGCGGTGTGCTCACTCATAGGGTGAGTGGCACTGCTCACTACTGTCCCCTATGGCGGTGTGTTCACTCATAGGGTGAGTGGCACTGGTCACTATTGTCCCTATGGCGGTGTGCTCACTCATAGGGTGAGTGGCACTGGTCACTACTGTCCCTATGGCGGTGTGCTCACTCATATGGTGAGTGGCACTGGTCACTACTGTCCCTATGGCGGTGTGCTCACTCATAGGGTGAGTGGCACTTCCCAATAAACTAGCTCTTTGGGGAAACGTTGAAACAAACTGAAACCATGGTTGAATGGGAGATATTTGTAGGGTGGGCTGAGGGTGGGTGCCCCAACCCACCCTTAGTCTTCATTCTTTCCCAAGCCCACTCTCACCTCTTTCCCAAGACCCTGCCCACCCCCCCACCCCCCACCTCTCCCCCAACCCTCCCTCCCCTCACGCGGAGAGCAACAGCGCCTCAAAAATAGACTAAGCAACTGCTCCGAGTCGCCGAGGTCCCCTTGAAGCGAGCCCGGGGGTGAGGGGACAATGACCCCCCAGACTGTTAGTGCGTGTGTCATGCACTGATTCCTCTTGCCTGCCCCACGACAGTCCCCCCCCTCCCCCACACCCCCCCCCACACACACAACGCTCCCTGCATGACGGACCAGCGTTCTCCAGTTCACGATGTGTAAGTTTTAGTAGTGAAAAAGAGTTGCCTGAACGCCGTCGCGGCTACTGACCTCCTGACCCTCTGCAGCAAGTTGGCACTGACTCAGCAGTGGCACTGACTCAGCAGTGTGCCACTGCCGCAGCTGGGGCACTCGTGGTTCAGGCCGTCGTGACCTAATACCCTCCTTGTTGACATTTCGTCTGAGCCAGTTCTCTGAAGGCTTGCAAGTCAACACCAGGGCAATGGCCTTATGAACGACATTAAAACATTCTTTGGGCATTCAAACTTAAAATTTACCAAGAAGAGATTATAAATAAACTTGAAGATTAATTTACTTTCTCATACTTCCACAAGGTGAGGGAGGGAATTATCAAGGGGAAAGCGCTATGCCATTATGGCTATATAACACTTGTGAAAGGGTCAGGATAAGGATTGGGGATGGGACGGGGGGAAAGGAATGGTGCCCACCCACTTGGACGGTCGGTGATTGAACGCCGACCTGCATGAAGCGAGACGCGTCGCTCTCCCGTCCAGCCCAAGTGGCTGGGCCTACCACTAGGCGACAGAAGTAAACTTAAAGCTTCCTTTATTTATTTATTTATTTATTTATTTATTTATTTATGCATATACAAGAATGTACATGAGGAATGTGAGGATACAATTATGATAATTACAGTCTTGTAAAGCCACTAGCACGCGCAGCGTTTCGGGCAGAAACTTTTGAAACTTCCTTGACTTTTTGTTACTAATACCGTGAAGAGAGTTATAAGAAGCACCTCGCAACATTGTCTAGACGTGTTATTAATACCTGTGGCATCGTGTGTTGGTGGCAACGATGACTGCGATAACCTCCACATTGCAGTGTTGGCAACAGTGTGTGCTCTTGAGCCAAAATATTGGGGCCAGATGGGCGGGTTACTGACCTTGTTCTTATCTGGTGGGCGCCCACCCAATTCCACGCCCACCCACTGCAGGTGGGTGGGCGTGAGGTGTTTGTGTGTGGTTGGGGGGGGGGGGGGGGGGGCTCACCTTATTCAACACCCACTGTACAAGTCTGTGGGTCGTACATGCCTTCATTCGACACCCACTGCAGAAGTCTGTGGGTCGTACATGCCTTCATTCGACACCCAAGTCTTTGGGTCGTACACCTTAGTCAAGGTTCCCAGTGGTGTAACTAGAAGCCAAGAATATCCAAGGTGATTAGGTGAAGAATTCCCAAGGTGAAGTAACGAAGGGAAGGGAAATGGCAGGAGAAAGTGCAAAGACATTACGACTATATCGCACTTGGAAGGGATCAGAATAAGGTTTTGGGATGGGACCGGGGAAAGGAATGGTGCCCAACCACTTGGACGGTGTAACGAGTAGTCAATAATTACCAAGGTGGTGTAGCTAGTATCCAAGGTTTCCCCAAGGTAGTGGCAAGTAGCCAAGAATTCCCAAGATGGGGCAACTTGAAGCCAAGAATTCCCAAGGTGCTGCGGCTTGAAATCAAGAATTCCCAAGGTGCTGCAGCTTAAAGCCAAGAATTCCCAAGGTGCTGCACCTTGAAGCCAAGAATTCCCAAGGTGCTGCATCTTGAAGCCAAGAATTCCCAAGGTGCTGCATCTTGAAACCAAGAATTCCTATGGTGGAGTAGCTAGTGACAAAGGTTTCCACAAGGTGATGTAGTTAATAATCTAAACTTCAAAAGATGGTGTATCGTAAGGTCATCAAGGCTGCCCAAATGAACCTTGATTGTCAGGGACACTGTCCATATAATAATGTGTTGACGTCTTTCACTCACTGGCATATCTCCTTCCCCTCTCTCTCTCTCTCTCTCTCTCTCTCTCTCTCTCTCTCTCTCTCTCTCTCTCTCTCTCTCTCTCTCTCTCTCTCTCTCTCTCTCTCTCTCCTATCATGGTGGCCTTGCCGGCAAAAACAATACCATATTGAATCGGCACGGTTGGCAAGCCTGCTGTTGTGGTGATTTGAATTGATTTCAGATTACATCTGTATATCTTTGTATATATATCCCATCCGCATTTATATATGCTGGTATAGCGTATGGCAAGTTGCTGTACTGCTTCGTAGTACCATTCGTGTATATCTTAGTATGATGGTTGCGGTGTACTATATATTCTGAGTTGTGATAAGTTATACCAGTTTAAACAGGTGTGGAAGCTGTATGGCTAGTGAGTGGTAGCCGGGAAAGTAATGATAAAGCGAGGAGTATTACGCAAGTATCCCCTTCGTCTTTGTACGTTTTCGTTTAGGCATAACTACAGTAAATTCGATCATCCCGCGCCACACGGAACTAAGATATTGAATATGTTGTGTTTGGCTTTCCAACGGTCAAAGTTTCGACGATTATATAACTGTTTTTTTTTTAGGATTATAGCTGACAAATTTTACTGGCTGGCAACTGTCGTCTGAAGGTCATTAGGACAGTTGCCTCAGACGAATTGCCTTGAACTCTGGGGTACGGATTAGAACTAGATTTTGATCCGTGCGGTAAGGCAGCATAGGGTATACTCTTCCAAGGTCAGGGTAAAGTGGATGGCTGGCTCTCCTAACCTTACGAATATCGGATTTTAGATATCCTTGTGGCCTCTTGGTAATGTCAGCATGAGGTAGTGAGGGCGTCTTGTGGATACCGGGTGAAGATTAAACTACAAATACTCCCTAGCGGTGAGTATATGTACTCAACACATATATGTATGTACTCAACACAATACTCAACACTGTTGAGTATTGTGCACTGTCGTTCAGTGGAGATGCATAGAAATATACCAACAAAGACATACTGCTTGTGTCGATGTGTTTATGGACAGGTGTCCAGCTTCCCTAACCTATATGAAGGGCTATAGGCCGTGTCAAGAGCCTATAGCCATTAACCTTCCGATGATTTCGGGGGGATTAGTGTCCCCGCGGCCCGGTCCTCGACCAGGCCTCCTGGATGTGTGGTATTAAAAATCCACGTTTCGAGAGAGAGGATGGTTAGTCACACACACACACACAGGTGGTATTAGACAAGCCACCGGCTTCCTGTCCCCCCGCCGAGGCCACCGGGAGAGGGGTTTTTGAGTGGTTGATAAGGGCCCTTCCCCCCCCCCACCCCTGCGTCAGGCAGGTACTGTCCCCATGACCTGACTTTTACCCCTGGAGGGCTTTGGTCAAGCTGAGGTCACCCCTAACCTTTACCCTGACCGGGAGGGGGGGGGAAGGGGGGGGAGATACTTGCTGCTTTAACCAGGCGAAAGTTTTTGACCTTCCTCGCCTCTAGATGTCATTAACCCTCGACGGCTTTGACCATTTCCCCTTGGGGAATTTTTCTGGTGCCCCCAAGGCTGTCACTCTTCAGTTTAACTTTCCATGTTATATGTCATCATTTCCTCTTGGGGGTTTTGTAGATAAACTGAACAGCCTAAAATGGGGAAGTTTGTTTGTAACTTTGGTGTTGTTGACCTCTTGATGGGACGGGGGGGGGGGCAGGACCCGGGGTGGTGACTTTCACTTTCCTGACCCGAAGAAGAGAGAGAGAGAGAGAGAGAGAGAGAGAGAGAGAGAGAGAGAGAGAGAGAGAGAGAGAGAGAGAGAGAGAGAGAGAGAGAGAGAGAGAGAGAGAGAGAGAGAGAGAGAGAGAGAGAGAGGGTGGGCCGGAAGTCAGCAGGCTAGCAGACAAAAAAGCAGCCAGCCACAGACTCATAAACATAGAAAGAATATCCTTCAATAGCCAAAAATACAAGTGTCCCTACCCCCACCCACCCAATCCCAAGAGGGGGGCGGGGGGGGGTTGTTGCAAGGACAATCACCGGCGCCAAACACAAGCTACGACCCCTCCCCCCCCCCTCCCCCCCACACACATCACCACCACAAAATGGTGGACATAATTCACCCAGTTCATGCTAAGGCTGCGAGGAACTGAAGCTTAAATCATGGAAATGCAGTCCTGGGTGCTGGTCAAGCAGGGACATTGCATGCTGTGTAATCATTATTCATTCTTGATCACTGGGGAGAGGGGGGGAGGGGGGTTGGTAGGCAAGTTGGGGAGGAGAGGTGGGGGGA